AGTTAGATTATGGGTAGCTCTTTTATCCTTTGGTTTTCTGTATTTCTCAAATTTTCGACAATAAACATGTGTTGCTTTTTTAATAGGGGATCAAACCATAAAGGTTTGTTCTTTTTTTTTTTCAAACCAGGAGCAAGTTTAGCTATTCCCCACCTTCTTACCCTGCTCTCCTGGCTCTGCCTGTGGGGACTGTTTGCGTGTTGAAGAGCATGTGTAGTCAGCCCTGCAGTTTCCAAACCCTGCTTCCTCAGGGCTCATCATCCTACCTCCTGACTGTGTTACTGAGGTGCCCTCCAGTGTCCTCCCCTGCGGTTATCACCAGTTCAAATCTCCACATTCATCCTAGGCAATCCATCTGCTAAGTAACCAGTTCCTACTTCCTACTTTTTCCATTCATCCTGGATGATTGACATTTAGAGGTATATGGGACCTTTAGGTTTATCTCATTTTGCCAGTAAGAAAACTTAAACCCCCCAAGAAAGATAATGGCCAAAGTGTCATAAAAGCTTAGCGCAGGACCCAGGCCTCTTGTTTTAGTGCCTTTTCTTCCTTATCAGACCAGGTGGCCTCCTTCTCACATTTCACTCTCATGCCGAGGTTTGGGAGTGAAAATGGAATTCCACCCATTTTCAGGCCTCAGTGGTTTCGTGATCCCTCATCTAGTCCTAAAAGAGAAGTTAACCATCTCCTTTTATGTAACAAGCACTTATTAATATATATACACATACACAGTAATTCTGATAAATATGCCCGTTAATTTCTGACAACCCTTTCAAGTAGTTTTTATCTTCTATTTACAAGTGAAAACTGATGCCTAGACAAATTAGGTAACTAACTTAAATTCAGGCTTTGTTACTCTTTCATGTTTTTATTTATTTTGGGGGATTTTGCAGACCCCAGCTAAAGTCCCCCAAAGTATACAGCATCACAACAAAAGATTAAATGATACCCTCCTTAAATCCAGGAGTTCTCCCCCAACACACACACAGCACATATTTAGATTCTGAAGCTAGTTTTCAACATTAGAGTCTGCCTCAGAACTGGACCATTTTTCTTCTGTCCACAGTTGCCCGCTGCTTTTCACATAATGGGATGTGATGGGGTCATATACTGTGATACTAACACAGAGGAAATGGGAAACTTGTCAGATGTTTCTTCGGAAGATAAAATCATTACAAAATGCAATTAATGAATTATTTCTGGATTTTACTGGTCTGTCACCTTGTATCATTGAGAATTAGAGTGTGGGTCCATATATTTCGATGTGAACTGACCCAGAAGATGGGTTTTGCTTTTGTATCCAGAGAAGCATTTCCCATGATTCATGTAAAATTTTTTAAAGTCTCTGTTCATTACATATCAACAAGTTGTGATATGCTGATGTGGAACTTGATCGAGGTTTTGGATCTTAAAGAACTCTTCCAGCACAGTTTCCTAAATTCACTACCCTCTTCTCTGCACTGTTCTTACCCCCCCCCCCGACCCCCATGATACCTGGCCTCAGAGCATTTTTATAAAACTGTAAGAGAAAGGACAGAATTCATAAAATGAAGGACAGCAAGGCCAGCCCTTGATGATGCACATGGGAGGCCTCCAGGTTGTGATTTGTAGGCTGTCAGCCTCCTGTAGCCTTTCCTGTCTATGCCTCTCTTTCCTCCTGTCCTCAAGTTCATTTACAGTGACCCAAAATAACACATAGTAGCTTTAAATGTGGCCTCTTCTAAGAGTCTTTTAAAGCAACCAAGGTGTTAGTTAAACTAAGGAATGAATCCCCAGGGCATAGAAAACCTGGGCCCTGCTGCCTCTGTGGTGTGTTTGCAGTAAGCTCTTAGGCAAGTAGTTCTGCCTTTCTGAAGCTGGTTTCTGCATCTGTAAATACGAAGGCTAATTGGATAAGGTTCAAGGTTTCTTCCAGCACCAACATGTCTTTTACAACTTCACTGTTGTTCATGGGACTCTGTCTGTGTGAAGATCCTTCCTCCTGTGTAGAAGGAGATAAGCAGACCCCGTACACAGCACGTGGAAGTCCTGTCCAGGCTCTACCGTGTTCCACCAATGACTTTGGGCAAGTCACACATTCTCACAGTCTGATCTCTGTTCTCCTCAACTCTGTAGTATTTCCAAGTGCAGGGTTTTTTGTGAATGATGTATGAAAATGCTTGACATTGAACTCTCCAAATGTGAGTGATGAATGTTGTTATAATGGTGCCTGGGGACCAGCACTGAGTAACAGAGAGCCTTTTCCTACTTCCAGAGCACTGGGAGTGAAAGAAGCTGTTTTTGCACATGCCACCCGCCTTTGGATGCTGTGGCCTCGTACCCTCACTACTAGTTTTCTGCCTGGTATTACTTTGTCCTCTGCTCCTCCCTGCCATAGTTCTGGTATTTGAGTATTCCCAAGCAGCAGTTACCAAACAAATCATCTGTGTGCATAACCTGGTACTTTGAGGTTCAGTCAGAAAACAAGCCTCCCAAAATTTGGCATCTTACCCCCTCCCCACTCCACTTCATCTCCCCACACAACACATGTACAACATCATGCACGCTTGTACTTTTTAACCCTTTTACATACTTTTTTGTAATGACTAATAAAATAATTAGATTCTTGTTGAAGTACTTATTTCCAGTTGATCTCCTGTTGTCCCCACATCCCCAGTGAAGTGGTAAGACAGAAGTGTGACTAGAGGGAACCAAGAACTGGGGATACAGAGTAGTAAGACATCTTCCCCACCTTCAGTCACGTTGTAAGGACTGGAAGAGCAGTGAGCGCAGAGTGCTCTAGAAGCTTCCTATAATTTGGCCGGGGAGGGGGTCGTGCTTTGAGAAGATGATGATATTTAAGTGACCAGTACAGAAAGGTATGGGGAGGTTTCTACATTGGACAGTTGAGGGGATTGTGTCAGAAGATGAAGGAACTACCCCAGGGTTACAGTGAGAGCAGCCAGAATTCAGGCTCTGGAAGAATGCTAGCCTGAGGTTTGGCACCAAGATAAATTCTTGTATGAAAAACAAGCAAGTGGTTTTGGGTCTTTTTATCCATTGCTTTACAAGACTGCAAATATATGAGTGCTAAAAGTAAAAGAAGCTTCACTTTTAAGTGAGAGAAGTTTTGAGAAGGAATAAAACAAAAACTAATGTTCAGAATAACATATTAGACTTTTGGGGGAAACCATCTTATTTTTTTGCCTGTATGCTGAAAATTGTCAAAGATATTTTAACATCTTTTTAATAATAAAATGCCACATATATTTCCAGATTAATGCTGATGTAATTATACTGTATACATAGTTAGTACCCTGGATTTTTCCTGTTATTGAGAAGCTTCTTTTTTACTTCCTTTCTTCCATATAAATGAGGTGTAAGTGAGAAGTGTAGCATATTATCATTTAACTCAGCTACATGCCATACACTCCAAAGGTGGTAAATTGGCTTCACTTTAAAAGTGTCTTTTTCTGCAGTGTATTAATTGTACCAAAACAAATTATCTTTCCAAGACAATAGAATTCATCATTTTGTTTCATCTCTGTAGTTATAGATCACCTAACTTACAAATCACCTAAAATTTGGTTTCTGTCTCTCAGCCAATATCAATTTAGCCTTTATTTATCTCAATTCCAATGGCCCAGAAGAATAGATTCATTTAATGTTATATACACCTACTTGAACTTTAAGTCACTTCTTTTTCTCTAACATCTTAATTTTAATTTTATCTTAATGACATTTTATTTCAGTGATAGAAAAAAATTGTCTATGGGCATTTAACTTGCTGAGTTATAGAATTTATGTGGCCTCAGTACCTTTGTGAACAAAAGGAGGTATTAGATCTTAATTCTCTTCTTTCTGTACAGTTCTGTGATTTATTCTTTTGCTTCAAGTTAATCCTCTACCTTTAATAGGTTAAAGGTAAATGGATAGTTACTGATGGATCAGGACTGAAGGAACTATTTTGGAAGGAATCTTCATGTGTACACATTATCACACATTAAATTATCAGGTGTGACAAATCTGGCGACTTCTGTTGTCCTTTGTTTCATAGTCAAAAGGCATCGAAAGTAATTCATCTGTAGACTTAAGTGACTTTTGTGAGATTGAAACTTTAATAAGAGTTCCAGCCTGTCACAGACTCTCAGTTGGAAGACAATAAATGATTGTTGAAGTTAACTTAGGCATGGTTTATTATATCCTCTTGGTGAGTTTTAAACCATTTCTAAATGCAAGTTAACAAAGAGAGAGAAAGAGATTCAAAACTAAGCCCAGGAAGAGCTATGAATACACAAAGACATATGCATATGTTTATGGCGGCTTTGTATTTAATAACTAAAAATTGGAAACAAATATCCATGCACTAGTGAATGAATCAACAAAATGTACATCCATCCAGTGGAACACCACTCAGCAATAAAGCAGAGCAAACTACTGATGCACACCATAGCACAGAGGAATCTCTGCAGCATCATGGTAAACAAAGAACCCCAGACAGAAGAGACTGCATACTGTACAGTTCCATTTATAGGAAATCCAAGAAAAGGCAAAACTGGTGGGACAGAAAGCAGATCAGCTGTTGCCAGGGCCTGGAGGTGAGAGGAAGGCATTGATTAGAAAGGAGCACACGGGTACTTTTTGGGGTAATGGAAATGTTCTCCATCATTATTTCAGTGGTACATATATGTATATGAACATTTGTTAAAATTCATCAAATTATACACTTAAAATTGATTACTTTTATTCAGTGTAACTTATACCTTTAATTTAAAAACAAACAAACCCCAGGCAGCACCTTGAATGCCTCACAGAGTGATTACTTCAGCTAGAGAAATAACCATTGTTAAACATTAGACTTTGAATGACTATTTTTAACAAGATACTAACATTATTTTTATGATGAATTCATACCAAATTTTGAACCCTAAAGTGTATTTGCATAGAACATGGAAAATGATCAGCTTGCTGTAATATCTCATTGCATTTTTGCTTTCTCTTTACCTCTCTGCCCAACCTAGAAAAGCTAATTGAGGGACTCAAATCTCCTGACACTTCTCTTCTGCTCCCTGACCTCTTGCCTATGACAGATCCTTTTGGTAGCACTTCCGATGCTGCAATTGGTAAAGTTGTCATTTCTGTTTTTTTGGTAATGCATGATGTGTGTGTATTTAAAAAAATGATAACTGGGTAACAGATCCCTACTGAATAGCTGTGGTGAGGAGTGGAAATGCCACCAAGCCTTCTGGTGTTAGATGATGCCTTGTGCTAACCCAGAAACCAAGACTATTTAATCTCCTTTGTTAGCATGTCAAATGAAGTGTTTTCTCTGCCTTCTAGCTGCACACCACTGTTATTTTTGCTTTTCTTGTTATCCTGAGATTTCTAGAGTGATGTCTTATGAATGAGGAGGGATGTGGGAAAATTCACATTTAATTACAAAAGCTTTATGGAAAAAGTTTCAAGCTGGACCTTACCGTTAGCAGATTCTTCTTTAGAAGGCCTCTCTATGTGTCGGGTATCAGCAGCTGATAACTGATCAACATAGAGCAGAAAACATATGCCTGGTGGTGAAGCTTCAGGCCTGGAACCCGGGGGAGGGGCTTGGTCTTGCCTGACCTAACATTTCTCTGTGCTCCAACTGCAAGGCCAGAAGGCCAGGCCAATACCTACAAAATGCCCAGGGCCCCTCTACTCCAGGGGCACAAAGTCCTAGAACTGAGAGAGGCCATGACACTACAGAGAGGTGGGCCTTTAGCTGGGGGACATCTCACTGTGTAGAATACCTCCCAGCTACATCATGGGATAGGATTTGAGATGGACTAGTGGCCTTTGCAAGGCACAGAGGTTGTGAAAGGCTCCTAAGTTTATTCCTTAAGGAAAGCAGTATTAGCAGGAGATATTAAGGTGCCTTGCAGTGTATGTCTTCTGATGTGGAAGAGATCTCCTGGTGGCTCACATTCTGCATTTGTCTCTAAAAACTGAGACTAGCCACAGTGGTTGATTTTGCATAGGCATGCCCAATCAGTGAAGCCCAGACACTGAAAGCAGCAGAAATAAAGTAACTTACTGCGCTTCCATCTCACCTGACACTGACATTCTAGAGAACTTCACAGAATTGTCCCAAGACTGTCTGACTGCCTTCTCCTGATCCTTTTTCTCCCTTTTTAATGCTCTGTTACAAAAGAAAAAGCTGATGTTGCTGTTGAGAGTCTCATACCAGGACTGGAGCCCCCGGTGCCCCAGCGCCTCCCATCTCAGACGGAATCTGTAACCTCAAACTGCACAGGTCAGTCAGGATTCTCTGCAGTGGCGGGATCAGTCAGTGTGGTGAGCCCTTAGAGCTGGTCTTTCCACCTGCGACAGGTGGTCCTGGGCTTAGTTTGCAGCCTGATTAGTTCCTCCCAGAAGGGATGCCCTGTATTGGTATAACCCCAGCTTCTAGATTTTGAGTGATGTGTTTCTTCACTAAAAAGCAGAGTATTTTTTGGAGCCATGTTCTTTGTAGAGTGATCCCTAGGCTTTTGCTGATTGCAGTCTTTCTTTATTCAAGATCTTTTCACTGGTGGCAGATTCCTTCCATCTCGTTAATTAAAGAACTCTGCTGAGCTATAAGGATGCCCGTTAACTCCTCCAGGTTACTGAGCAGTCTTCCCCCTCTCACAGTGGTATCTATGAAACTATAATGTTCTGTTATTGATTGTATTCATAACACAGTGCTTTAGTCATTTATAGGTGATTTGCTGTTAAATTGTAGGCAAAGTTGAAATCTTTCCTGGTTCCAGCATTACTTTTACCCTAATTTCAAAGTTCACTCTTAGTAAAATTCCTTAACTGCCCGTAAATACAGATTTAGTAACCTTCCTCTCTTTTGAGTCCATAATCACCTCGATAAAAGTGTCCAATTTCCTAACTTAGAAACAATTAGAAATCTAGGAAGTATGAAAATTAACTTATCTAGATTTTAAAAAGTGAGCACAGAAGACAATATGGTTTCTTTTCTTTGTGCTTAGTTGGCTGTTTTCTCCTAGAAAACATTCCAGAAAATAATTCATGTGTTAAAATACTTGTCTTCTTTCTGTTCTTTGAGAGCAATTATGTGTTCAAAGGAACAATTCAAGTTTATACTAGTAAGAGGCGAGATCATTCTAGTTTGAATAGGAATCTGACTGAGTTCTAGAAAGTATTGTTTAACCACTAATAGTAAACCAGGGACAGCCCCTTCTAGTCATATTGGACCCCTCATCCTGGAGTAACTTTTTTCCATGAGTGTTTAGGGAAAATTTAAGTGAAACTCTTTTTTTTTACAAAAAGTTTTTTTATTTATTTCTAAGAGAGGTAAAAGGAGGGAGAAAGAGAAGGAGAGAAACATCAATGTTAGAGAGTGACATCTATTGTTTGCCTCTAGTACATGCCCCGATCAGGGACTGAACCCACAATCCAGGCATGTGCCCGACCAGGAATAGAACTAGTGACCTTTCCCTTTGCAGGATGATGCCCAACCACCTGAGTCACATTAGTCAGGGCTAAGTGAGACTCTTTAGTTGCAAAGTTCTTTTTCTCAAATAGCATTTTATTGGAATCCAAATCACATGCTTGCTTATCTAGCCATGCCTGAGCAAAAACATCTTCCATTTTTATATATTAAAGTTAAAAGGAATCTAGAAATACATGTTTCTATAAATGAAATCTAGAGTGCTTAACATGTTTCTTTTAGTTTTCTTCCTCCTGCTTTGGCTCATATGTGTGACATGTAAGTGCAGTAATTTAAAGACCAAAGTCTAATCCCATGATGTTGTTGTATGTGCCGTTTAATGCCGTCACTGACCTGGGATGCTGTTAATCTGGACTCAGATTCTCTCACCGGGGAAGATTCCCTGATCGATTGCTCTCTGCTTTCTAACCCTACTACTGACCTTCTGGAAGAGTTTGCCCCCATAGCAATCTCTGCTCCAACCCATAAAGGTAAATACTCTCTTCCTCTTGGGTCCACATGTAACCTTCAAGGAGATCTGAATAACTGAACATTTTCCTTACCAAAAGTCTTTGCTAGTGAAGTGTTTTAACCACCTCCTTCTGTGGAAAACTTGGTTTGTGTTCTCAGCCACTGTGTCATAGTGCCTCTTAGAAAGAATATTTAGTAAGGCTTAGACAACAGGTTGGTGGAGGTATTACTGCCTGGCAGGCACCTGGAATACAGATAATCCACGTGATCTAGGAAAGACAAAACGACATGCCTTTGAAGTCAACTCAAGTAGATGGTTGAGTTGAGTAGCCACTGACTGTAATTATTAATATGATAGTTGTTGGCCTTAAAACTTAAAAATGGTTCATCGAATATGATGTAAAAATTTTATATAGTGATAAATAGGCATCATTCCTCAAAAGTCAGTCCTCAAAAAATTGAATTTGCAAAACTTTTGAATTTTAGTTAATATTTGAGTCACAGTTGATTACTAGGTTTCCTTTTTCGATCTACCATTTTCACTTCTTAGGTTAATGCTGGTGTATAATTTTGGACAGAGGTAGCTTGCTTTGAGTTCTATTCGGTGAGTAGTTTGTGGAAGTGACAGGCACAATGCCTAGCTTACTGTGCGCAGGCATCCACTAAACTTCTTTCTGTGCTAGGGTCGAGAACGTGGTTTTCTAGAAGGAGCAAATACTTAGAAAAGGAAGTTTAGAATCCTCTCTGCAGGAAATTAAAAAACGAAGCCTCTCCAAAATGACTGAAAAATAATTAACCTGTGGTTTGTGGTGGTAATAGTTGAGCTTTTGTTTTTACCTTTTATGGCATTAAAATGATTATATTTTTATAGAGCATGTAGAAGGAAGTTACCTATTAACCAAGTATGTCTGTCAGGAGTATGTCAGCAGCAATGTGTAATTACAGAGGAGAAGTACTTGCAAAGTAGGTGCTCAGCTAGCAGTTGGTGGTAAGGTAGCCTTAATTAGAAGGAATAAGAATATTCTAACAAGCTTCTGCTGGAAATCTTAGTGCATGTGATGTCTTGAGACATCAATTATTTGATAGTCTTTTTTCCCAATCAAAGGGCAGTGAATCCTTTCAGAAGCATTTGTTTGCCTAGTATATAGCGGTTGCTTCATAAAGAGAAACTGCCCCAGCCCGTGGTTTTCAGTTTTTCAAATATTGTTAGGCCTCTGTTTGCTCAGTGAAGAAGATAAATGACTAATTTCTATGCCTTTGTGAATTGATGACATTGAAGAAATACCTTACAGTAACGGCAATTAATGGTTTTATAATGGTAGAAAGAATTTATCCTATAGCCCTTCTCCTGCATCATTTATGAAAGTCTTAACATGGGTAGCACTAAAGCATTTTTTTTTCATTTCCCTAAGTTTTCAAATTTTGCTACTTTTATTTCAACTCAGGAAAATAAGCATTTTCATCTTTAAAAATTTGCAGTGACTATACAGTTGGGAACTTTGTGCCTCTTACACATTCTCTCATTTGCTAATCTCTGCTTCTGTTGTCTCTGCTTGTGTGCTTGCCTTCTGTGTTAAGCAGCAGAAGATAGTAATCTCATCTCAGGTTTTGATGTCCCTGAGGGCTCGGACAAGGTGGCAGAAGATGAGTTTGACCCTATTCCTGTATTGATAACCAAAAACCCACAAGGTAAGAAAGAGAGGATGGGGAAACAGCCTGACATCAGCTCTCCATAAAAGAGTACTACTGTACCTAATCTACAGTGGGCGGGGGGGGATCAACACTTAATGAAGGAAATTGGGGGTAATGAGAATTGCTGTGGGCTGGACCAGTAGAGAGAGATAGAGATACAGGTACTGATAGAGGTTATCTTAAAGCCTGACCATGGTGTTTTTTGTAGAGAGAAGGAAAGTTTTAATGTCTGCCTAAAAGCTGGTTTTTACAAAGTATCAAGCCTATAAAGCAAAGTGATCTTTAAACCTGAAGGCATATTTCAAACAATGCACCGAAGTTGGGTTTTTTTTTAATCATAATCAGAACAATTTGTGATAAATACTCTTCTCAAAAAGATTAACAACGATGCTTTGGTATAATCTGCATCTTTTGGACATTTGTGGAGCATAACTTTCCCTCTTTGATGGATTCAAATCATTTGAACATGCCACAAAACACTGAATTGCAAAGGACCATCTCTCTTTATTTTTAAAACTCATTTTTATTGCTATAGTCTTGGGAACTATTTTCTCTCCAAAGCAAAAATTATTGATTTTTTACTCTATCAAGGAGATGACTCTATGTTGTCCAGAAGTTAGTACAGCCAGCCCTTATCAGGCAAAACATACATCCATTTGAAAGGCTCCCTGCCATCGGACTGTGTGTACACAGTGCCTGAACCTTTTGTGGGAGGTGGTAGAAACCTAACTTATGTTTAAAAACCAACATGTAAGAGTTTGCAGGTGTAAATTGTTGTTTCTCTAGGGTTTTGTTTTGGTTTGGTTTTTCTCCTTTGCTTACTCTGCACATCTAAACCTTAACCCTCTGTGTTGTGTACTGAATTCCTATCTCTCCACTTCCAGGTGGGCACTCTAGAAACAGCAGTGGGAGCTCTGAGTCCAGCCTTCCCAACCTAGCCAGGTCTTTACTGCTGGTGGATCAGCTCATAGACCTGTAGCCGTGACCCAGTAGCAGACGCAGTTCTGTAACCTTCATACCGTAATATACATTTTCATTACGGAATTATAAGAAAGATGATTTTTTTAAAAATCTGCAAATAAGGAGCCCTGTAGCTCTTATCTCCTGCCCCTTGCCTTCTCCTGTAGAAATGATAAGGAAAGAAAATCACTTTGGCCCTCCAGATATTCCTTGGCCAGTTCCTCCCTGTTCATTTGCTGTGTTTTCTCATTACCTTTCTTCAATAGCATTATCTTAAATCAAGCACTAGATGCCATAAGCTTCACCTCTGCTGGAATCAACTCCACCAAAAGCTTAACTGTAACTGAAACTAGTGAATTGACACCTTTGCCTCATTCTTGCTAGGAATGGCCTCCCACGTCAATCCTCCCAACCCCTGTCTCCTTTGGCCAGATGCTGATGAATGTGTTTCTCTGTTTTTGCTTTTTTATCCTGCTGCATTATTGTGAAGACATGGCTTCTTCAGTCGGTCTTAACTCTAGGCAGTAGCCTGGAGACAGATGTGTGGTTTGAGAAAGGGTAAAAATGACTGATGGATGGTATATGTTTGAAAAGAGAAAGTGAGCCCAACTCTAGCCAACCAACTGTGACCCTGTTTGATCATAGACCTAGCCAAGGGATTTTACACCCCATGCAGCCTGCCCAGCATTCGTCCAGCATTCTGGCTTCCATTGAACCGCGATTTCTCAGATCTGGAGACGTGACTGCAAGTACTTGAGATCCTTGGATGAAATGTGTACATTATATAAATCCCAAGTATTGCCATTCCCTCTCATGTTACCTGTCCCAAGCTGGGATCTCAGAATTAGACCAAAACAAGACAATGGTGGTAATATGATACCTTTTATTAGAAGACTTTTCACTGGGGAGGGGGGTTGAATAGGGGAGGGGAAGGAATTGTAGCAGAAACAGATGTATTTTTCTTGTGATTTTTATTTTGAATCAAATATTGTAAATTGTGTATAAATGAAGATGCTGAATAGTTCTGTTTCCACTAGGCGTTTCAAGTCCGATATCAGGTGTCTGTACAGGGTTTTGATCTCTTTCCCTTGTATAACTTTACACGGCAATCCTACAGTGTAACATATGGAATCATTTTGAGTAGACTTGTGTGTCGCTATTTCAGCAGGTCCTCTGTCTTTGTAGAATACGCATGTTGTTTATTTTCAGATAATAAGAAATAAGTGTTCTGACAAGCTAGGCAAAGTTTGACTCTGGCTACTTACCTTTCTCTCTCTCTGATGTTTGAATTGAAGGATGCAGCCAATGAAATATATTCAGTTGGTTTTCCTTGGCTTCCTAGACTGAAAAATAAAGCATAGTCCCCCACTAACTTTAGAATATTGTTCATAAAATAAATAAAGGACCCTGCACTGACATAATAACAACATGCCTCATGGTCACCCTCTGTATATGTCCTTACTCATTTAAGGGTATTTTTTCCTTACATGGAAAGCAGTTTTCTGACATTGCCCTTTTGGAAAGAGGTGGGCACAGAGAACCCCACTGTGGTTTTCTTCCTTGAGTGCTGTTTTCCATGGTAAGAAGGGAAACTCTTAGTTGGTCAGATTTGTACAGATAAAATTCCAAGCCCACTTGTTTGTTTCTCTATCTAGTATTTTTGTTTCTTCTTCCTTACACTTGCACTTTAAGGGGGGGAAAGAAAGTTGAAGAGTAACACCAGTGTGCAAAGCCCTACACTTTGGAGGTCAGGCTCTAACCTCAGAGGCGTGAGAGCAGCTTTGAGAAGCATCAGAGGAAAAGTCTGTGTCTCTCAGTCTTCCTTCTGGCTTTAAATACTCCCCGTGCCTGCCAAAACCAGATGAGTTTAGTAAAGGCCTCTATGAGGATAATGGATCATTTTCAAAATTGAGGGAGGCACATCCTTCCTGCTAAGGATTAAAAAAGACATCTTTGAAGAGCTCTTCATGATTAAATAGCAGTGAAAATGGAACTTGGTTTGCCCCTTTATGGTCAGGAATATTATTGAAGATCAAAATTATATCCTTTTTTCCTGGACATAGAAAGAATGTATAAATAATGAAGGAAATATTTATTTTTAAATAAGAATAATGTTTTATGCCTGTGTTTTACAGTTTGATTTTTTCATACATATGTGTTAGAAATATAATTAAATATCTAGTTTCTTGAAACCATGGAGTGTACAGCTTAGAAATTAGATGTCTCTAAGTTGTGCCTTTCATGTATTACCCTAACTGCATTGAGATGTATTATCTAGTCATCTGGCTCAATAAAATTTAATGTAGGCTGTTAATGAAAAGAATAGACCAGAAGCCAGAGAAGGGATGAGGAAGCCTGAGGTAGATAATGACATGAAATGCTTTAGGAGTAGGGTCTCAAAGGGGATAACTATTTTTCTGTTAAGGAATAAAGTGAGTGTGACCTGATAAATAGAGCCTTTGATATATAGCATCATCCCTAAGCTAAAAGGATTTATTTGAGATGAGTGTAGTGTGCTGATAATTAATAGACCTATGGAACTATGGACTGAGCTATAAAAGGGACCTTAGAGATCATCTTCTGGCCCACTTATTTCATTTTACAGGTGTAGGACCTGAGGCAGGGTAGTGAAGAAGAGGGCTGTGCAGGACAGCCCACCTGAGATCTTGCCTTGACCTTGCCAGTCACTGTCTGAGTCACCTTAAGCAGACACATCACTTCTCAGAGCTACTGTTATTATTTACACAATGATGGGTTTGGACTAGATGGTCTCTAAGATTATAGAGTTCTAGGGTTCTAAGTATATATTATTATGCTTTGGGAGGACTATGAAGGATTTATATATCCTGATGTTCTCCAATTATCTAATGTAGTTCTTACTGTAGCAGCATTTACATTTTAGAGAATTATAATGGGCTTTTACTAACCTGCATTGCTCTTTTGTGGTAATCTGAATAGAGGCCTAACCATGACAGAGCTTTTGGGTTGGTTTCAGTCAAAATGATCAACTATTGGCCAAAAGAGTGAGAAAAAGTATTATAAACAATTAATATTTCATCTTGAGAAAAGTAAGTTTTTGTTTTTTTTCCCTATAATTATTAGCAATCCAAGTTCTATACTTCTATTTCAAAAAAGGAACCATAGGTGTTCCTCTTTTAAATATTACACACACAGAGTGCAACAAAACAATATCAAATTTCAGTACTTTTAAAACTGTGTAATCAGTGATATGTTATATAAAAATGGACAAACACAGTAAGCATATGTTTTCTCTTTTGAATTGGAGATATTGTCTAATTTATTTTTTATTTTTCAATCATAGTTTGCATTCAATATTATTCTGTTTTAGTTTCAAATGTACAGCAAAGTGTATGCATATCATGTAAGCATATGTTTCTGACTTGCTTTTATTCTAACTGTGCAAAAATAGTAACTATACTAGAAAACATCACAATGAGGTTTTTTCCCCCTTTAGAGCATTCTAATTACTAGGCTGCCAAATTCAAGTCCCAGTGTTTTTAAAAACTGAGGCCTCACAGGAGATAAGGTTTAAGTGGTCACTTATAAATATGATTATAATTAATGACTACTTTAGCAGACATATCAGAATGCTGGCATTTAATTGAGTATTGTCCCCTGGTTTTACTTGGGAAGCTAATATTTATTCCAATGATGCTACCATCATCGAAGTTATTTTTGAAACTCCTCTCCTTAGAAGTAGCAGGAAGGAAGGTAATAAAGTATAAGGAAATCAGCTGCATTCTTATCTAAATTGGTATCACTTTCACCCTGTGAAAATATGTTGTCTTTCTTGATCTACTTTCTTCTACCACTGTTTCCAAAAGCAAAATCACCACCCTGAGATGAATAGTGGTTACTGTTGAAGATAGTAAAGAGAGTAATCCACAGAAAATTCCCAAAGAGAAACTTATAATGGAAAGTGACAGTGGTCATTCTTAGTTTCCTTGATAATTCTGAACAAGGGAACATCTGTGGTTTTGCCTCTTTAGTATGGCTTATAAAATTGAAAGATAAGA